AGTGTTCACGATAGCGCGCGTTCGAAGTCGGTAATGGTAAGTTTATATGAAGATTGACGCAAGCCGAAGCAGTAAAAGATAGCGGTCGAAAAGTACCGAAAGTACCCCCGACGGATTGCGAGAGTATTCATTACACTAAACGCAATTTGGCAAAGGCATTTAAGCGTTCACGATAGCGCGTGTTCGAAGTAATGTAAGTTTATAGTTAAACGCAAGCCGAAGTAATCAACGATAGTGAAGTTACCGAAAGTACCCCAAAGAACGCAATCTGGGAAAGGCAAATAGGCATTTACGATAGCGCCGGTTCGTACTAATGGCAAGTACACACGAAGATTAACGAAAGTCGAAGAAGCCGACAATAATGCGTACAAGTAACCAACACTGTCCCAAAGGTTGGCGAGAGTCAATCGTATAGTAGTTAGATGGCGAGAGTGTTCATTACAGTTTACGCAATTTGAGAAAGGCATTTAAGCGTTTACGATAGCGCGCGTTCATAGTAATGCAAGTAAACACGAAGATTAACGAAAGCCGAAGAAGCCGACAATAATACTGGCAAGTAGCCAATACTTTCCTAAAGGCTGGCGAGAGTCCANAGATTAACGAAAGTCGAAGAAGCCGACAATAATGCGTACAAGTAACCAACACTGTCCCAAAGGTTGGCGAGAGTCAATCGTATAGTAGTTAGATGGCGAGAGTGTTCATTACAGTTTACGCAATTTGAGAAAGGCATTTAAGCGTTTACGATAGCGCGCGTTCATAGTAATGCAAGTAAACACGAAGATTAACGAAAGCCGAAGAAGCCGACAATAATACTGGCAAGTAGCCAATACTTTCCTAAAGGCTGGCGAGAGTCCATCGTATTTCCCGACCAGCATTAAAAATATTGTTAAAAGACCTATTGTTGCCAAGTAGCACTCGTTTTTGTAAGAAGGAAAGTCCTCCTTCGAAAATGAACGCTACTCAAGCAGAATTCTAAAGTTCTATTCAGCTTTTACAAGTATTAGTGAAAAAAAAAATGATTAGTTTAAGCTCCTAAAGTATTTCTTCTTGATCAAACATTTTCACTTTAGTTGTGTTGTAAGACGCAGGCACTTTTCCTGATGTCCAACTTGAGAAACATGCCCTAAAACAGAAAAAAGGTCAACATTTTTCAGTACACCGTAGATCAATGATAGAGAGAACAGATGACGATTTTCCAATCTCTGTACACTGAAAACGTGCAATTTGGAAACGAATTTAAACTCAGTTAAGATAGCAACCAAAGTAAACATCTGTTAGCAAAATAAAGCATCTCAATGATTAAAAATGCAGGTACTCGTGCCACACCCAACACCATTCAGGGATTTAATGTACTTACTGTCATGAGCACATATAAGAAACCTATACTACTGGCTCCCATCTGCAACATGGATGAATTCATTTCTGATCTGTCGTTCACATCTTAGTTCTCTCTTCTCTCACTGGCAAATGATGCCGGGTACTACTCTTACGATGTTGTGCTCTTATTCTAAAGTAAATCAGTCCTACTTACATAAACTATATTATGGTGTTCGATATGCAGGTCTAAGGAGAAAACCGGGGATTAATGCAAAGAACTTGAAAATATACGTTATACCTGAAACGAAGAAACGTCTCCCCACGTGATGAACAAATTAATTGCCGGGTAGATTCAATCTAGAAATAAAAAAGCTCAAGAAAAAGAAACAAGCGCTTAGAAAATGTTACCAACAGACTTCAATTGAATTAATACAACCTATTTCATGTGGAATTAATTCTCAAGCTTTTTTTCTTACATTCTTTCCAAGCCGGTCTTATTGACCTCTTTAAGGTGCAATGGGATCCAAGACTCATTTCTAGGAATTTGTGAGTGTAGTTTCTAGAATCTTTATGACCCGATAATAATTTGTTTCTTCTTTGGTCCCCACCCTATTCAATTATATATCGCAAACTAAACTTTTATGTAACTTGTAGCCTGCGTAGCAAGCGTTTCCAATCGAGTTATTGCGCGAAAGTTAGAGAGGAAACAAAAAAAAGGTTGAAGGGGGAGGGGGAGGGGAGAAAAGGAAACGCTTGCCCGCAAACCCCACGATTCTGGAAAACGCCCCTTGATATTTCACGGTTCGGTTCATTTGTAAACTGACAGCTCGTCAAAACAGAAGTATAACAAACAGATTACCCCTGGATTAGCAGATTTGTAAAATTACTTTGTTCTTTAATAGAACACGTTGCAGGCGATTGCAAGAACAGTAATAAAAAAGATTTACGATAAAAGAAAGTTAAAACTATGAGCGATTGCTGCGGAATTTCTTGTTTTTTATTGTGTGGCTTTATCTCGTCTGAAACCTTGTCGACACGTCAAAAATGATTTGTCTGGAACAATTCACTCCGCCGGGTATAAGTTTTGCAGAGCGGCTGCTCTTCGCGTTCTCTACAATAGATGCCGCTAAATTTCCAATAAACAAGAAGAATCTTTTCATTTTTAAAAAGCTGACAAATCGCTTGTCCATGGCGGCTTTAGCTAGTGTCGAGTACCGATGCTCTGATTTATGTTGATGTTATCTCCAACAGTCCATTTTTTCCAGTCAGATCTGCACGCCGTCATTCTCAATAAATTGGCCTTCCCTAGTCTCCACTGCTCGATCTCCAATTATACTTTGAAGACTCTGATCTCATAAACCTTCGCACAAACACGATTCAAATAAATATCAGTCCAAAGCGTTTGTAATCTGCGACCACAAATCAGATGAGACCAGATCTGTGACGCACGAAAACAAAGCATACCTGGTTTGATTGATGTTTCGAGTGCTAAGTAATCAACACCACTCGCACCGCGCCAATCAGAAGCTGCGTTCGTGGGCGAACGCAGTTTTTCAAAATCGTGGGGTTTGCGGGCAAGCGGTTCCTTCTTTCCCCTCCCCCTCCCCGTCATTCATTTTTCTTTTGCTCTTGCCCCAGCTTTCTAGACGAACCTCGCGAGGAAACGCTTGTTACGCACCTCTTTCCCCTCCCCCTCCCCGTCATTCATTTTTTTTGCTCTTGCCCCAGCTTTCTAGACGAACCTCGCGAGGAAACGCTTGCTACGCAGGCTATGTAACTTGCTGAATATGCTTTTGATTTGCAACGGTAAGGGACATAGATAAAAAATGAAGTTTAAGGGCAAACTATAAGCATATATTTTTAGTGGGAAGGAACATAAACAAATCATATCTATAAAGGCAAGTCGGCTCTCAATAAACCCACAAACAGCAATAATTTAAATACAATGAATTCATTTCCGACTTCTCCACTGAGATATTTTTAAAGCGTCCAGCATAAGCATAGTTATAACCTGCAAAGATATAACAGTGCAGAGTCAAGCATTTAAAGAATTTCAAGTGTCAAGTCTATCTTTACTATATAAGTGAAATATACATTTGGAATAATTACCGTTAATATATTTTAAAGTATCTAAACATCTAATAGTATATCAATAATAATAGTAATAATGACGATGAAATACTAATAATAGTTTATTTAACAGATCGACGGAGCGGCTCTTCCCTATTTAATTGAATTATTTGAAATTAAAAATAAATTAAAGTACCTTAATAAAAAAAGGCCCTCTCCTCAAATAAACAGATTCTACTTAATGGGCAGATTTCGGAAAAATGCATTAGGGAGTTCTCTTCTCACGTGGACACTTTCCGGGTGTCAATCCCATTGGTCCTAGTTAACAGTAGATTTAGGGCAAAGGCATTAGGGACTTCTCTTCTCCCGTGGAAACTTTCTGGGTGTAAATCCCATTGGTCCTCGTGAACAGAAGATTTCGGGTAAAGGCATTAGGAAGTTCTCTTCTCCCGTAGACACTTTCTGAGTGTAAATCCCATTGGTCCTAGTGAACAGCAGATTTCTAGTAAAGGCATTAGCCTAATGCCTTTACTAGAAATCTGCTGTTCACTAGGACCAATGGGATTTACACTCAGAAAGTGTCTACGGGAGAAGAGAACTTCCTAATGCCTTTACCCGAAATCTTCTGTTCACGAGGACCAATGGGATTTACACCCAGAAAGTTTCCACGGGAGAAGAGAACTCCCTAATGCTTTTACCCGAAATCTGCTGTTCACTAGGACCAATGGGATTTACACCCAGAAAGTGTCCACTGGAGAAGAGAACTCCCTAATAGGGAGTTCTCTTCTCCAGTGGACACTTTCTGGGTGTAAATCCCATTGGTCCTAGTGAACAGCAGATTTCGGGTAAAAGCATTAGGGAGTTCTCTTCTCCCGTGGAAACTTTCTGGGTGTAAATCCCGTTGGTCCTAGTTAACGGCATATTTAGGGCAAAAGCATTTGGGAATTCTCTTCTTCCCTGGACACTTTCCGGGTTTAAATCACATTGGTCCTAGTGAACAGCAGATTTAGGGCAAAGGCATTAAGGAGTTCTCTTCTCCCGTGGACACTTTCTGGGTGTAAATCCCATTGGTCCCGGTGAAGAACAGATTTCGGGTCAAGGCATTAGGCAGTCATATGTTAGTCATCCTTGCGTCACATGTTTTCTGTACATGTATTCGATTTACATGCAAAGGGTTGTAGTTGTCTCTAGCTAGCGCTCGGATCTTCTATATTTCCTAGCTGAGAGGTATAGGAAGATCCTAGTACAACTACGAAGACCCTAGAACGATGCAAACTGTCTTCGGTAGGAAGATCTGAGGACAAACCAGGCAAAAATGGCGGCGGGTCTTAATAACGGCTATAAAAGCCGATCATTTCGTTTGGCATTAGCACGAGCTGATTATTATGACAATTGTGCTGAAAAGACGTTACATGTATTAATGCCATTAAACAGAGCAGAAGGGCACAAATTGCATTTTTGTTTTTTAATAATTCCTTGTCAATCCTTTTCTACTTGGGCACCACACGGACCGAAATTTCTGCACGTAAACCCAAAGAAGAGTTGTTAAGCCTTCTTCACGACCTTCCTCCCTCCATATTAAACAGCCCCTAAAATGATCAACACACGGAAGCGACAATGTAAACGGCTTTATTGTCATCAGAGCTATTACTATATCCTCATTACAAGAAACAATCAAAGCCAGAATGAATACACTTATTGATAGCAAGTAATTTACAACTTCAGTCAAAGCTTGCAGTGGAAAGGTACAGTTTAACACGTAACAAATTAACATCAAAGCTGTTTCAAAAGCATGTCATGGAAGAGACGACTTCCTAATAAGAATGAGAAATGCTGGGAGCTCATTAAAAAGGGGAACAAGCGGTCTACGCGCTTTTATGTGTGGGACTGACATAGATTTGTTGTTTCACAGTACAGTCACGTGAATGAACGTTTAACGCTCCAAGAATTCACCCCATGTAAGGGAATTCGGAATCCGGAATCCGGAATCCGGGATATTTTTCTTGTGGAAGCCGAAAACCTGGGCTTAGGAATCCGGAATACAGCTGAAGGAATCCGAAATTTCACTAACGATTGGAATCCTGAATCCAAGTTCCACTGACATAGAATCCGAAATCTAGGACCTGGAATCTGGAATCTGGAATCTATGGCGTGGAATCCAGAATCCAAGACTGTCTTGGATTCCCTTACATGGAACGAAAAAATGATACATATCACAAAAATAAAAATAATAATATAGGGATCGCTTTCATCTTTAAATTAACATCTTGGGGAAAAAAGACAAGCGCGAAGGCCAAGGTTTGTTTGTTCTTCAATAAATTGTTTTTGCTGTTTGTCGAAACATGAAAAACTGCCGTACGATTCATACCTTTTTACACGACCTTTAGACCTGAGGTCAAAATAGATAGGCTTTAAACACATTTATTAGTTAAAATCATTACTTATATCCCCCTTACATCGAGCTCCGAGACTTTCCATTATTCTTGCAGTCCGTGTTACTCCTACAAAAAGACACGGACTATATGGACAGCGATGATTGCCAAGGTTTCTTTTCGCTTTTTACTGTTTAAATAAGAGCGCCTTTTCTTGCTCACAAATCGTTTTGGTGTTTAGAGATTTATACAGAGTTGGAAAATGGGACAGTTGTCAAGAATTCTGCTGTGGTTTACTGAGCGCATAATACATCTCCAATGGCTTGTTTACTTTCCAGTACTGAAAGAAAAAAAAAAGGTGTTGTAGTGTGTTAGATATGCATGAAGAGTTCTGTACAATTTGTGGAAAAATTCACCTCTACTAATAGGTTATTACCTTCTCGTTGACGTAATCCAGCGTCATTGAACCAGGAAGTGGCTGAAAGAAAAATACAAAAATATTGGTTACGGGATTCAATTTATGACGGTGAGAGTTTAAAATAAGGCGACTGTCAAATAAGGCGAGAAAAAAGTCCGGTCTGGTAGTCTTTTCTTGCTGGACAAGTAACATTTAAAGCCCACTTGCCCAAAGTCTAAGCGTCCATACAAGCCATCTACCAACTAAGACATTAACTAACACCACATACACACCAAAGCTTAAACATGTCCTTGTTTAACCATGAAAACAAGGTTTACATTTATTTCTTGCATAGACGCTGCCCAAACAATTTTTTCAAAAACAAATTTGGCGCAAATGGAACCCGAGTAAGTCCAAATTTACTTGAACCCTTGGAAAAATCCAGTCCTTAAACTTCCTTTCCACCTACTGGCAATTTTTAAACCTGGTTTTACCAAAAACGAGCCTTAAGACAAGCACGTGGTAGACCCCTGGCAAGTAAAACCCAAATGGCATGGATAAGAGTTTGGAGTCGTTTTTAGACACTTCTGAGTTCAATTCGTTAAGTGGAATGCCAAGTGTATTTCTACTATAAACAATGCATTCTGATTTGAATACCTTTAAAGGGACAGGTTCACGGTTCAGCGCACGCTCATTTATCAAAATGCTGTTTTTCTGCCGGGACATGCTGTATCGTCTATGCAAGCAATATGATCATGTAATAATGTTGTCAAAGAACCAATCTGCACACTCCCCTGGCGGTCACTTGCACTTTATCAACTTAAATATTTGCAAATAGCTGTAAATTAATGAACCATGGAATAAAACCTTTGGGTCAACAATAAATTCAACGTTGGTGGTGTTGGCATAATCCACTAATTTTTTTCTGCAATTTTAGTACTCCTCCATCCTACTTCAGGTTACTCTGAAATACACTTCTACTTTGAAATACACTCTGGGATCGCTGAGATACATGTTATTGGGATTATTAACCGATGGAATATATAATAAATTGGAAGAAAGTAATTTAATTAATAAACATGCGCTTAACCGTGAACCTGTCCCTTTAATACTTACCGTGTACTGCCCGGGTGTGCTAGCAATGTATATTGTAAACTGTGGCACTTCCACTCCATCCTCTGATGAACTGGCGCCTAGAAATTTTGAAAAAAAAAGCTTCAAAACTATCAATGGAATATAAAATTGCTGATTTGCAGCTGACTTTATGGCGGCCATGTTGGTTGACAAGAACAAAAGAGGCGTTTCCCCACACCGGGAACTGATTTTTTTTCATGCATCTTCTGCCAAAAAGGAAAAGAAAACCTTATTTTTTTGTCAACCAACATGGCAAACCTAGAATCCAAGAGAAAAACGAATCAGCAGGGGTACTCCTCCGAGAACTTGAAAAAATGCCATTACTATCGACCTAAACATCTGAATATCAACACACACAAACTCATACTTGATAACTGAAAATTTAAATCGACAAGAAACTGCTTCTTCTTTGACTTTATTTTCACTGCATTCCTTATCTTTTTTCTTGAGCTGTTTAGACAGACAGTTTTCAGGAAATAGCACAATTCATTATTCAACAACACAAAGGGCTATTCCTGGTTTTAAGAGACATGTGCATCTGAACATGCAAATAAATTAGTTCCACAGATTTCACTGACCTGTATCTTCTTGAGACTCTAGTGCTAGTCTCATGGCCAAGTATTTGGCCAGATGATCAACTACAAAAAAAATAAAGTAAGATAAATCAATATATAAATAAATAAAGTAAAGGTAAAAATAAAGCTAGTAAACTGAACCTATAGTACTGTATCATTTTCCAAGACTGTTAAAAGCATTTTAGTGTGAAGTATACTGCTAGTACACCTGAAGCATTTGCTGTTGTCTTGATGTAACGAGTTTGTTGAGCCACCGTTTCTGGATCGTGATCTTTAGGGTGTGGTTTAAACACAAGTTCGATTTCCTGTTGATAAAAGAAGTGATTAATGCACTGATCATAACAGAGCTTGATAAGAACACATAAGAACCGCGGCAGTGTTAGCTCAGTCGGTAGAGCGTGTTGACTGCTGAGCTGGAGGTCGTGGGTTCGATTCCTGGGGCCGGACCAATACTCAGGGTCATAAAATAACTGAGAAATGAAGGTACTCTCTTTGCACTGCAACAGGCTAGACTTTCGTGTGGCTCAGATGACCATGTAAAATGGCAGTCCCGTCTCCAGTTGGAGACGTAAAATATAGTGCCCCCAGTAAAATAGTACTTTCGTGCTACATACATTGACACTCAAATAAAGTGCATTTTTTTCTTCTTTTTTTTTGGGAATCAAGATCATGTCAACAATGACACAACGTAACTCTACCATTAAAAGAAGACAGTCTTTGTCTTTTTTCTATATGGTCAAACTACAGCAACAAATGACACTCAGCCAGTCATTCAGCCAATCAGCCAGCTAGCCGGCCAGCTAGTCAGCCATTACATAGGCAAGAGTCGACTTGCTTGTCAGTTAGTCAGCCAGCCATTCAGTCAGAATGTCAGTAGACAAGCAATGAGTCATTCAATCAATCAGTCAGGCTGTGAGTTAGTCATTCATCAAGTCAATCAGTCAGAAATTGACTGTCACTTGGAACGTCTAGTTTTAACAATTTGATTGCTCACCCATGATAATTTGACACTTCTCTAACTCTAAGTTTCACTATTTTTCAGTGATAAAAGTAATGTATTTAATGGTTAAGATAATCAAAAACATAAACAAAACATTGCTAGATAAGTAACAGTCATGCATTTCCCATCATGTATCTGGTCAAATTTAGTTTGACAAAACTTAATAGGCATTGGTAAGCATCAACATTACTACTCAGTATAGCTACAGCTTGCCATGTGCAGCATGTGCAGCAGCCCTTTCTGTACTCACATTTTGAGGCTCTGATGTTTCTGCTGCTGCTTCTCCAGTGGAGTCCAAAGTGTCTGTTAAAATAATGGTAAAGAACACCTTTAAAACTGCATATTTTTACTGCAACAATGGAAGGAAACTTTCAGTATTGTTCAGAGTTCAATGCTCTGGATGTTTTGGTTGCCATATCAAATAGCCAAAATAATTTTCACCTTAGCTATCTGAAAATTAACCCTTGATAATTTATGTTCTGTGTACCAGCATTCTTCAAATTCAACTACAATAGCTGGGTGGCTATTTTGAATAATTCTGTTAAACTCTCTCTTGAGAGTGTTTGCAAGCAGAGCTTCAACTGTACTCCCAAAAGGAGTTGAATCTATAACCTTCTGGTTAATGTTGTTCAAAAACTCACTTTCACTGGCATCAGACTCAGGATCAGAGGACGTTTTCTGTCTTTTTCGCACAGTATTGCTGCCTCCCTCTCCTACAGATGGCTGCCCTGTTGAACCTGGTGTTCCTGGTCCCCCTGTTCCTGCTAAATAGGAAAAACAGTTTTTTGCGTAACAAAAGTGAACATGACATACAATGAACATAAATTAAAACCAGGGAAAAACATGACAGAAACACTGTAAATAGCAAAGCTGATACTTCCAACAAACTCTTTACACTCAATTATGTATACCACAGCTGTGATGTATTATTTCTACATCTGTACAAAAACTACAGCAACTCTATAACCACTTTAAATGAGAAGATAAAACAACCAAATACCCTTTTCTAACCAAAACAATATCCTTGTCAAATTTTGTATCCATTGTTATGTCTCAGAAACAATAACTATGTGGTTCACACATTTTTAGGCTTCTCAAACAAAAAAAAGAAGTAAAATACAATATAAAGGTTGTTGCACACGATTTCTCTAGTGTGCAAATTCATTAGGAAAATATAATGAAAGTCCTGGATTTGGGTCAAGCTGATTTATTCAAAATTTTGTGCTTGTTTTCAATTAACTACATTGTAATGACAACCATCAAATCTTACATTAAATTTTAACCCGATAAATTCAGTGTCTTATAAATAATAATATTATTGTCTGTCCCAAATTTGAGCTTTATTCCTGCAACAAGTCTTAAACAACACCAACCCCATGAAAGGAAACCATCCACAACCTATCAAACTGTGTTGAGCCACCTTAAACTCTAATTGCTGGGCAGGTTTTGTTTCACAGTTCTATCAGTTGTGTTAACCAATTTTTACCAGGATGTAAAAATTTACCATACCTGTACCTGCATCATTCCCTGGGTCATCTGATGACCTCTTCCTCTGAAATAAAATAATTAGCAACAAGGAAGGTATTAAGACAACTCAGCTGAAGGGAACATAAGATGCATCTCTGCAAAATCAGCAAAAAGCTTTTAAGCAGTTTATTGCTGTTATGTGCATGTAGAGTGAAGAGGTCCAAAAAAATCCATGGTCTGTATTAGTTCGACAGTTGACATGATTAGAGAATAAACTTTTGCTCTGACCAAAGTTGTGAGAGCAGTTAGGAGTGCACACAATCATTTTATCACCAATTCAAATGCTATGAAAAACGGATTTTTTTTCTGCCCCAGGAGGTTCGGGATTTCAGTCGTGTACCCTGAGAAAGAAAAGTAATACACTAGACTCTTAACTTACAGTGTAAGTGTACTGCAGCTACTTGTACAGTGTATGAGTTATAATTTACAAAGTTAACATAACTTACCACCCTCTGAGCTCTGTTAATTGCCTGAAGTTTAAGCCCTTCTTCAATGCTACTTGTTAATGCCTGTTGATTGTGATGCTTGTTTAACCTCTGTAAAACCTTTTCCTGTAAACAGGTGAGTAAAATTAGCATTCACATGAAGTCAAGAGTTCCAATTCAGTTTTAAGACATTTTTAGTTTCAAGAACTTTTGTACATGTAGGTACTACAAATAACTTTAGTTATAAAAATGCTCAAACATTACCAGGGCTATGCTCTAGCAGAGCCCGGTGGCCCCTGGAACCTAACTTTTGCCCTTAGGCAACTAGAAAATCTCAGATTTTTCATACAAATCATATGCTGGGCACCCTAGATTTTACAGTTTCAGAGCACTGGGCTCCCTTCAATTTTCCTTAGAGCACAGCCTTGATTACAAAACTGAAATCTGGTATTCCTCAACTTAATTTGTACAATGTACAAATGAGCATGAACATAACTGATGACAGGTAATGGTGAAAGTTGCTGTGTTGTTCAGGAAATTAAAAAAATCACTTAGAGTAGGATCTTCCCTGGGGCTGTCATTAAGATTTCAACTTGCTGGAGTTTTGCAATATTATAAGTACCGGTAGGTGCAGAACTGAACATCCATGAAGATTTTTACATGCTCTAACTTTCGCTAATTTGTTTCCAGCAAAAATAGTTGGGGATCATGCTAAAGGTAGCTAGTGGAATTCCTTGAAGAACTACCCATTAGATATGTTCCTATTTTCCCGTAATGTTTTTTCAAGAGGGTAGTTTTCAGTGTTATGCATTAACACCCCCATATTGATTCTTTACAATACAAATTAATGATACTCAACAGTCTACAGATTGCAGTGGTTAAAATTGTTCGCATTTGCTAAGCTTTACAGTGGATTTTACTGAAATCATGCAAGAATTTTATCCATGATACTTACAGTGTTGTCACTGGCAATGAGAATTGTGTCCTGCACTACATGTATGAATTGCATTGTGCATTAACTAAAATTGCATAGCCCACAAGGCAATTCACATTTTATGTGAGAAGGTAGTAAATTGCTTACTTTGGATCAGTTATTTATCTTTCTTTTTCTTTTTAAACTATTTTTCTGTTGTTAGTATCTACATGTATTTAGATTTTCTAGAGTTTCCTAACCTGATGTGCTTCATATTCGTCTCTGTCCGGGTAAATCTAAAAAAATATTGCAAATGCAGATAATCAAGTTACGGGAGTAAGAAACCTTTACACCATGTACATAAAACAGGTACAGTGTATGTAATCTTTAAATAACATCAAATTACAACTTCAACTTCAACTTCATTTAGTAAAAATAGTAATTACAATGGACTGGCCCACAAATCTGCTTTTGCTAATCTAGGCGGCCCAGTTAAAAGAAAAATAAAGTGAAAGGAAAGGAAGGAAAATATTTTAAGTTACAATAATTCTTATTTCTATCATGATAGTTTTATTTTAATTACTTTACATCTAAGGAAAAAGGAAAAAGAAATTGATGGAGTGATCGGAAAGCATACAATTTTGTACACAAATCACTTAACTAATAATCCAACTTTTGACAGTGTGTGCATTGTTTAAAAGTAACTCATTACACCTTTAAAATGGAGAATCAGTGGCTTGACAATAATTTAAACAACACAGCAACAGGTACTAGCAATTGTGCAGTTCACAAAATATTCTTAAAAAAGTTAAATTGAAATATCTTACTTTCGCTATGAGGGCATCAAAATTGGGATCAGGACGTAAGGACCGCTTTGAAATCAGCTTTTTCCTACATGTTGGACATTCCTTGTTTCTGCGAATGCAAGTTACAAAAATGTAATTATAGATCTCATCAATAAATCAACAAAGCCTTAAAAATGTTTGAAGTCCACTCTACTTCTTATGTCCTTTAATAAATTCTTCAACAACATGGTTTTATTCTCGAGAAACACAGCAATTCACTGCAGGAGATAAGACTAGTAATCAATGTTGAGTGCTGTGCTGCCATATGCCTATCCGTTTGTTACTTTAATAATGTTTTAGTCCTTTCTGTTAATTTAGGCTGTGTGTCCATGCAGGGCTGTCAATAAGGGCTGGTAGCCGGCCAAAACCACTGGCTAGTTAGCCATCCTTAGCTGGCTACTTTCATCTTCTTCTACCATAGCTGCTAACAAAAAATAAGCACCACTGAATAAAATTGTAAAGTATTCACTTCCCACTTTTGAATAGCATTGAATGCATATTCCTTTTTTTAAATCTGTGAATTCAAACCAGTGCGATGTCTTGGAACGCCTGGGACATTTGTACGGGACTGTTCCCGGTCTGATGAAACAACATGGGGTCCGTGGTGGAATTAAAATACCCCTGGAAACGCCATTTCTGAGACTCTAAAATTTAAAAATGTTCCTAGATGCCTCGGCCCTCAAGAACTTGTGCCTTTGGTACAAGTTTCAAAACCACCTACTATTCATCATCAGTCTGCTACTTAAAAACTTTTTGACAGCCCTGCCATGTTCAATTTAGTATATTAATGTACGTTACAGGTCAAATTTGATTTCAGGGTACATTTGATTTAACCTATTGTAGGTCGATTCTCAATTCCTTTGTCTCCTAGCTCTAAGAGACCAAGGAAATTGAGAATCAACCTAGGTTAAAATAATTTAACCTGAAATCAAATTTGACCTGTAACAAAGGGGGGAATTTCATATGTCCCATGATGCTTCGAGGCAAATTTCTGTCTTCTCTCCGTGGTGGAAAGAGTTTTCGAGGGTTTCGAGGGAGATTTTCAACGACCTGAATTTCAAGATGCATTCATCCAAGGTAAGTTTCAATTAGCCCTGTTAATCTTTGGTATCTGATTAATAATGTAAAATGGTCCCATGGTCATTTCATGCATTATTGCTCTTGTTTATGACCCTGTTAAGCCATGCTGTTTTAACTCGCAAGTGAATATTTATTTAGATGACTTTCAATCATTGAAAACTGTCTTTATTATAGCGAGGTTTTGCCCTAATAAATTATTTAAATTGGTGGACAAGGGGTGCTTGATACTAGTTCCACGCTCCAACCTCTTTCGACCTCGCGATTTTTATGGGTTTGATCTTTTTGAAATATCGCATTTTCTGCCCTTTCTCCGCTAAGATACAAGACAAAGGTTTCAATTTCTTTATGCTAAGTCCTGGGAAGATGGGGCATTTTTTCTTGAATTCGCTCTTTTTTCGCTGATCAAAACACAAATATTATCTCTTGAGGGTGCGATGAATGTTTAAATTCAATGGTTTATAGTTATTAAAGCTTTTTTGTCTCATTATTTTAGATAAAATTGATTTCTCATAGTGGCTTCCGGTCGCAACCACGCATGGTGAACTTGTAATAAATTATGCGGCCCAGCAAATGTCATGGAACAGTACGCCATAGGACCTCAACCGGCGTATAAAACCTTTTAAGACATTTTGATAATTCTTTTAAGATCCATTGTAGTGAAGAAGTGGGTGTTTTGGTATATGTATTTTGCCATTTCTTAATAAAGCTTTTTTCTGTTTATGTTTGACAATGATGCTTAGCTGGTGTTCTGTTGCAAAAAATATAGAGATGTCTTTGTTATTTTTATTGTTTGTTGGAGCTGTTCCCCTCCTTTGAATTTTATCTCCGATAGACGTCACTTTGCATTTTAACGGTCTTGTATTTTCGACTCCATAAGCCAAGGTTGTTGAAGTAAAAGCACGTGCGGTCACCGTACAGTTGATGTACTGCATTGATGAATTATTGAACTGACAATATGAGCACCTCGATCACCAAGAAGCAATGAAGAGAAATCTCACACCTAGAATATGTATTTATTTCAAGACAAGTACATGGAAATTGCTTGTTAATCCACGGAGACCTTTATCAACGCATGTTAAAACAGGACATACTGAAGCAAAGACCTTCCTCGCTAGCTTCTAATATAGTATGACGAGACGCATCATGGGATACATGAAATTCCCCCCTCTACCTGTAACATGAACATGATTTATTTACCCTGTACTCAATATACTGATGTGTGCTTTTAGTTCATTATTAAACATGCATTGTATTTACATGACTGTTGTCACTAAAAGGTCTCTGCATACCCTGAGTAGGTGAAGTGCATACACGTGTCAAGTGGTTGCTTACATGGGAATAAAAACAGGGAAATTACTATAAAAGTGTTGCCCCAATAAGTGATCATGGTTGCTTTCAAGAGATGGTTACCAGTTTATGAGAGGTTTTAACTATACAGTTTTAACTGGGACAATTTTGTTGTGTTGTGGTTACATGAGGAGGTTCAATTATCTCTTAAGAAACCAGTATTTTAAAAATCTGCTGTTGGTATTATGCTGCATTGTTACATCTTCTATATATATATATTGCATGCAACTTTGAGCTAAAACTAGGAAAAGGTTATGTACATATTTGCATATGTACATGTACAGGGGATGACAGACAGGTTGTGAAGGGAAGAAGGAAGCTACACTGTCTTAGTCTAGGAACATGACTTCATACACGTACCCACTCCTCAATGCTGTTATTATGCACTCCTGACAGAATCTGTGTAGACACTATGACATTCAAAAAAACATATACAATGAACATGTTATGTATGTACATGTGTAGTCCCAGTGGAAAAAAACATAACAGAAAAGTGATCTACTTTAATTTAAGAGTGCATGTAACATAAACTTGAACAAACTTGCACACCCACCTCTTTGGTTGTCATTGTGTTCTTCAGCATGTCTAAGCAAATTGGGCACATAAGTTCACTGTGGAGACTGCGAGGTGAAATGGAAATCTCTGTTCCATCAGTGATGGCCTCTTGAGGTGTGCGATGAAGCTCATACAAGCTTAGCTCTAAAAATAATGATGACAAAATGTGATAATGTAAACTGCCGCTTTTTAGCCTTCCCTGACCTAATAAGACCTCTTTTTATAGGCCCATCTTTTGGCCTAAGACTACAACTTGTCTTTGAGGAAACTAAAGTGGACGTACTAACTTGTTTCGAGTTAGCTCTAAACTCTGCGCTGATAACGGTTTGAACTCCTTTTTACTGTACCTCTTAGGGGGTGTTTACGTGACACCGGGCCACTTTCAAGGCGGCGCGAGTTCACTCTGGCTCCCTCTCATGGCTCTATATTTGTTTACATGATACCACCACAAAATGTCATGCATGGTTGTTGTACCAGAGTGAGAATTTCACACCCGTATGAAATTTCACGCTAGTATCTTGTAAACACGAAACATTGACCACCATTTGGGTGTGAAATTGGTCTGCGGATGGACTGAGACAGCGCATGCGTAATGTTTGCGATCTTGAATTGCACCTGTGTTTTATTAACATGAAGTGTACCTTCAAATAAGCAAGATATGAAATGACCCATCATCATGTAAACACGATACAAAATCAAAAAGTTATCCTGGTATGAAACTTGTGCCGGTGCAAGTTTCCTCATGCAAACACCCCCTTACAGTAGTTAACATTTTAGGGCACCCATTTTTTTTTGCAGTTTCTTAATGAACTGACCTGGTTATGATTAATTTTTGCATGTTGCCACATGAACATTTGAGGGTTTCTTTTAGCAGTTTGGGTTTAAAGGACATGATAAATTAACTATAATCTTGCAATCTACCAGTAAACTACTTCTTAAATTCTGTCAAATTCTCAAAGGACCATGTCATCAAACATGTACCAAAAATTGTACAAAGGGTCTGAACAAGGAAAGGATTTTAATAGGGAATGCATCCAAATATCGGCATCGGGTCACACCGATGCCGATCAATTATTGAGTACCGATTTTTTCCGATTCCATTGAATGTTGGACCCGATATTATTGGCACTGAATGAAACGGAATCAGCAATAGGTCTCTTCTTTATCGGGCCAATTAACAAAAGTCATCAAAAATATCTGGCAGCTCACCGGTCACGTCACTTAAAATGTTAACAAAGCAAAAGAGAGAATG